TAGGATCATAAATCTGTTGAAATAAAAAACCTTGCAGTAAAGACTCAGCTGCAACAATTACAATAGTTAGAAGTGGTGGGATTTTCAAACATACTGCAGGGAGTGCATTAGATAACAACTAATTCCGTTCGTATGGAGGGACCATTAGTTCATGACTATCTTCTACCTCGCTGGTCAAAGAGGGTGTCTTGGAAAGAGAGCTCCATTACCTCCATAGCATTAGATAATACTATTTCGGACGTAGGGACACTAGTACATGACTACCTTCTACCTCGCTGGTCAAAGAGGGTGTCTTGGAAAAAGAGCTCCATAACCTCCATATGCATGTTGATCTGCATGTTACTTTCTCAGCACTGAAGCTAGTCCCCCTATCTTCTATTGTTGACAAAAAGACAGCCTGTGTTTTCGTTGTAGTTCACATGTTCTTTGGGCAAAAACTTGACAAATTTTCTGTGTTGATCTACTTCCAGCATCACATCTAATGTTTGTGACTCAATCAGAGCATTTCCAATACCTACACTTCCGGCATCTCCTTCCTTGACTATTGAAACCTCAAAATCGAAATCAAATCTTCGATCTGCATGCACCGCCTCTATTAGTCATCTGGAATCAAAATAAGCCATCTGATTTGACCATTCGATTCACAAAATTGTTGACATGTCTGATATCAAGTCGGACCAACTTGCACAGCCTGATGAATACAAAATAAAATCAAACAAATGATCATTTTCGCATCTATTACTCATCAGAACCTAATCATATATTACCCAAGAATCTGATCGAGAAAATATGTTCTAAACTAATAACATACTCTATAACCTATTTTATCTTGATTTTAAATCGTTATGTTATTTATAGATTATGAGGATCGGACAAGATGAATTTGTAAAGATGAAACTATCCATTATATCATCCTCCCTCCGTACAGAATAAAGTCAAGAATTGGCTGTTGCCGATGCACCAATTGGAACTTTAATCTGTTGAAATAAAAAACATTGCAGTAAGACGCAGCTGCAACAAAAAACCAAGGCAGAAAAATAGATGATTCTGTTCTATGTTCATCAGCAAGAGATATTGAATCCAGATGAGACAGAGGACCTTGTTTTACCATTCCAACAAAATGTCGTTTAACAAAAGTCATTTAGAGAACCTTTAGCATCTGGGCAATTACAACAGCTAGAGGTGGCGGCATTTTCAAACATTTTGCAGGAAGTGCATTAGATAACTACTACTCCGTTCGTACGAAGGGACTACTAGTTAATGATTACCTTCTACCTCGCTGGTCAAAGAGGGTGCCTCAAAAAGAGAGCTCCATAACCTCCATATGCATGTTGATCCGCATGTTAGTTTCTCAACACTGAAGCTAGTCCCCCTTGCTTCTATTATTGACAAAAAAGACGGTCTATGTTTTCGTTGTGGTTCAACTGTTCTCTGGGCATAAAACTTGACAAATTTTCTGTGTTTTCAATAAATCTACTTCCAGCATCACATGTAATGTTTGTGACTCAATCAGAACATTTCCAATACCTACACACTTCCAGCATCTCCTTCCTTGACTATTGAAATCTCACAATCAAAGTCAAATCTATGATCTACATGCACCCCTTTTATAAGTCATCAGATCCTAGGTTTGATAGGAAACTTAGCAACAGATCATGTTAAATAACTTTATCAGGATTATTACGGTCGTGGTATTTTTACGGGGTGCCAAGTAGACATAATCTCCGCACAGAACTTCCTGATATATTAGCAATGGAAATCTTGAAATCAAAACAAGCCGAATGACTGACATGAAGCCGGACCACCCAAATTCACAAAATTGTTGACATGACTGACATGAGGTGGACGAACTTGCACAGCCAAACCAATCCAAAATATTGCAAGCAAAATCAAACAAATGATCAGTTCAACATCTATTACTCATCAGAACCTAATCATATATGACCCAAGAATCTGGTCTAGAAAACATGTTCTATACTGATTCCATAGATGTTCATATGTGATATGACTGTCTCTTTTGTAAAGATGAAACTATCCATTATATGCTTCCTCCGTACAGAATAAGGTCCAGAACTAGCTTTTTCTGACGTAAAAAAATTTAAAAACCGAAATAAAATTTAAAAATAAAAATTTCATATTAGTATTTATAAACTAAATGAATAGTTTTCTACAAAAGGAGAAAAGGAAGGTAACTAGACTATTATTTTATTTTAAAAATTGACCAATGAAATCTTTGAAGGTAAGACTCACGATTTGAACATGTGAATGATGTTAAGGACTCACCTTCACCAAAATACGAAGGCAGAAAAATATATCTACCTGATCAATATTCGTCAGCAAGAAATATAAAATCCAGATAGACCTTGTACTTGTCGAGAACCTTGGACTGGACATCGAATCACGTGTGTAAGCCTAAATCTACAAATAGAGAGCTACAAGTTCCCGCAACCAAGCAACACATCCACACAATCTTACCAGGAAAAAAATCTTGGTTCCAGTATTTTGTTTAACAAAAGCCATTGAGTGAAGCTTTGGCGTCTAGACAATTACAGTAGCTAGATGTGGTGAGATTTTCAAATGTTTTGAGTGAAGAAAATTAGACTACTATTCTTTTTGTACAGTCTACGGAGTGAGAACACTAACTCGATATTACCTTCTACCCTGTGGGTCAGACGGGATATCTTGGAAAGAGAGCTCCATATCCTCCGTATGCATTTTGATCTGTGCCACTTCTACAAGTCAATAAGGCGGGGGCTTGATTAGAAAATTAGCATCTGATCCGGACTACAAAATTCTATCACAATTCCAATGGTCGTGGTATTTATAGATTATGAGAGGTGGTCAAGAAGAAGCGAACACATCTGGTATTGTGCATAGTTTATGTCGAATCCATATCTACTATCACCATAATCAGTGCAGAACTTCCTGATTTATTAGCAATGGGCGTCTTGACATCAAACCAAGCCATCTTATATAACCACCCTAATTCACAAAATTCATGCCATGAATGACATCAAGTCCAATAACAAGATAAAAACACATCAACCTGCTCACCCAGATGAATCCAAAGTATTGCAAGCAAAGTCAAACTGTCAAACCAATGATCTGTCCCACATCTATTACTCATCAGAACCTAGGCATATATGGTCCAAGATAATGATCAAGATAACATAATCTATGACATATTATACTTCCTCCATGCAAGAACAATGTCTAGATTTGGCTATTTCCTGTGTAAAAAACTAAAAAAACTAGAATCTATGTCAATAATGTCCAAAACAAAGAAACTACATCAATAATTCTCTACAGAAGTAAAGAAAAGAATTAGAAGAAAACGCAATTGACACAAGCAACAAATAATGAACAGGGACTGATTTAAACAAGTGAAGAGTGGTGATTTCAACTATTTGGAATGAAAAGCCTAGAGCCAAATCATCCGTCTGGAATCTGAACTGCACCAACAAGTCAAGCCAAAAATACAATTTTAGGAAACAACCATCTTAAATGCCACCTGAGATAGTTGAACACATCTTAACCACTAAAAAACAAAACAATTGCAGTTGCAGCTGGGATTACGTTGTCCAAACTAGATCAAAACACAAATAATCAATCAATTGATAAGATGAACATGTTTTTTAAAAGAAAAGGGTATTTGTTTAACAACCCAATATCCCTTACACAATTGCAGATATAAATACTAGTTCATAATCAATTTAATATAGATACTGATGTTTACATGGTGAGACTCGTTAAAAATACACATAACTATCCAAAAAGTATAACCATCCAGTAAAAAAATATTAGCAGCACTTACCTTAAAATATCAAATTAAATAGTGCCCTTCAGATTATAAAAAATACTCGTAGTTTGGAAGATCTACATCGTTAGAACGATGAATGTCCATGCTTCACTGTAAATAACTAAGGACCTCATACCTAATTGTTGCAGGTGAGCGTGTATCATTCGACCAACAGCAGGGTAGAGATCTTCAACAGCGGACAAAGATAAATACACAATTTCCAAATGAACAAACCGAGCATAGATGTGATGAACCAGAGAAATAAAAACGAAGGGGGAACTCCAATCCACTATCTGATCATCTAGATAGGATCTGAACACAAACAATTTCCGAAAATAGATGCTCCAACAACCAATCAATCACCATAAAGATTGTAACATCAATAATCAAACTGGTAATCCCACACATCTTTCTCGTGATATGAAATAATAGCGAAATCATGGAATCATCGAGTCAAGGTAGGGAAACAATTAACAGTAGGGATCAGATAAATAATTCTGAGGACCTTGTACTTGTCGAGAACCTTGAATCTGATAATTTTTTTTTAACAAAAAGCCATTTAGAGAAGCTTTGGCATCTAGACAATTTCATTAGCTAGATGTGATGAGACTTTCAAACGTTTTGTATGAAGAGCATCAGATCACTCCTACCCCATCCGTAAGTGAGCACACTCGTGATTACCTTCTACCTCGCTGGTCAAAGAGATGTCTTGGAAAAAAGCCCCATAACCTCCATACACGATTTATCTAGATGTATCTGTCTTGCAAAATGAAACATATCCCCCTTGCTTCTGTTGCTGACAAAACAGACACCTCTGTCTTCACTGTAGTTCACCTGTTCTTTTGGCATAGACAAAGTTTCCATGCATTTTTTATAAATCTACTTCTAGCATCACATCGAATGTTTAAATCTCAAAATCAGAGCATTATCAATAACTCCCCTTCCAACATCTCCTTCCTAGATTAGATTAGGTTTGATAGGAAACATAACAACTGATCAGAGCCTAGGTATAATGGGAATCATATGTAGTTCACCTGTTCTTTTGGCATAGACGAGGTTTCCATGCATTTTTAATAAATCTACTTCTAGCATTACATCGAAAGCTTAACTCTCAAAATCAGAGCAATTTCAATTACTCCACTTTCAGCATCTCCTTCCTTGACTAGGTTTGATAGGAAACATAGCGCCTGATCAGAATTATAGACCAGCATGTTCTATATTCATCAAGATCAATAAAATTCAGATTTGACTGGGGACCTTGTACTTCTAATCAAATCATTTGCATACCTTACACTAAATTGAGAGCTAAAAGTTCCAGCAGCAAAACACCATACCCACAAAATTTCTTACCATGAAAAAAACAATTCTTCGATCTGATATACGTTGTATTGTTCAACAAAAGCAATTTAGAGAAGCTTTGGCATCTGCACAATTACAATGGCTAGACATAAGTTTTTCAAATGTTTTCATGAAAGAGTATTAGGTTATTACTGATTTTTTATTAGCTTCTACCCTGACAAAAAAGCCTTCTCTAAGTCTTTGCTGGCAAAAAAGCCTTCTCTAAGTCTTTGCTGTAGTTAACAGTAAATTGGGCATAGAATTTGAAACGGTTTCCGTGCATTCCCAATACATCTACTTAACTCCACTTCCACATTGACTATTACAATCTTGCAACTGGAGTCAAATCTATGATCTGCACCACTTCTCAAAATCATAGAAACTGATCAGGTTAAAATAATTTTTGGGTTTATGAAAGTCGCGGTATTATAGTATATAAGAGGTGGTCAAGTAGAAGCTAACACAACAAGATTCTTACATAGTTCTTGTCAAATCCATTTCAACTAACAACATAATCACAGAGTAGCACTCAATGAGCAATGGATACCAAACCAAGTCATTCAATCAATCACCCAAATCCACAAATTGTTGACCTGACTGACATCAAGTCCAATAAGGTCCAGCTTGCTCAGCCAGATAAATCCAAAATACTGCAAGCAAAGTCAAACAAATGATCTATTACTCATCAGAACCCTAAACATGAACTACGAAATCCGGCCAAGATGAAAATAACCATAGATATTCATATATGATATGGTCCTGCTGAAATTCATTATATCATACTCCCTCAGTACTAGAATAAGGTCCGGATGCAGCTGTTTCCTATGTACAACAACAACAACCCAGTTAAATCCCACAAGAGTAGGGTCTGGGGAGGGTGTGTGTACGCAGACCTTGCCCCTACTCGAAAGTAGAGAGGCTGTTTCCAAAGAGAACCCCGGCTCAACGTCTAAAGTTGCATTGCTTGACTAAGAGCTACTTCATTAATTAAAGAAACGCAGACAGTTTAGAGATCCATTTTGATTTATTCCATCACAACCCAAAGCCAAAAAATGGTGAAATTTTGGCTCCATCGGAGATGATGGAAAAAGCTGTTTCCTATGTAAAAAATAAAAAATCAGTATGAACTTCAAAAAAAATTTATATATTCAAAAATTTGTCAATAGTCTTCTACAAAAGTAAAGAAAAGAGAAAGAAGAGGTGACTAAACTTTATATAATATTTTATGTTATTTTGACACATGGCCAATGAAAACATTTAAGGAAAGAAGATTCGATTTAGACATGTTAATAATGACGTAGAGCACGCAAAAAATATATAACGAATAACAAAATTCTTCTTCTTATTTTATCAACAAATTAATTGGTACCAGTTTTCAGAACTGGAAGATTCTCAATAGGATCATAAATCTGTTGAAATAAAAAACCTTGCAGTAAAGACTCAGCTGCAACAATTACAATAGTTAGAAGTGGTGGGATTTTCAAACATACTGCAGGGAGTGCATTAGATAACTACTAATTCCGTTCGTATGGAGGGACCATTAGTTCATGACTATCTTCTACCTCGCTGGTCAAAGAGGGTGTCTTGGAAAGAGAGCTCCATTACCTCCATAGCATTAGATAATACTATTTCGGACGTAGGGACACTAGTACATGACTACCTTCTACCTCGCTGGTCAAAGAGGGTGTCTTGGAAAAAGAGCTCCATAACCTCCATATGCATGTTGATCTGCATGTTACTTTCTCAGCACTGAAGCTAGTCCCCCTATCTTCTATTGTTGACAAAAAGACAGCCTGTGTTTTCGTTGTAGTTCACATGTTCTTTGGGCAAAAACTTGACAAATTTTCTGTGTTGGTCTACTTCCAGCATCACATCTAATGTTTGTGACTCAATCAGAGCATTTCCAATACCTACACTTCCGGCATCTCCTTCCTTGACTATTGAAACCTCAAAATCAAAATCAAATCTTCGATCTGCATGCACCGCCTCTATTAGTCATCTGGAATCAAAATAAGCCATCTGATTTGACCATTCGATTCACAAAATTGTTGACATGTCTGATATCAAGTCGGACCAACTTGCACAGCCTGATGAATACAAAATAAAATCAAACAAATGATCATTTTTGCATCTATTACTCATCAGAACCTAATCATATATTACCCAAGAATCTGATCGAGAAAATATGTTCTAAACTAATAACATACTCTATAACCTATTTTATCTTGATTTTAAATCGTTATGTTATTTATAGATTATGAGGATCGGACAAGATGAATTTGTAAAGATGAAACTATCCATTATATCATCCTCCCTCCGTACAGAATAAAGTCAAGAATTGGCTGTTGCCGATGCACCAATTGGAACTTTAATCTGTTGAAATAAAAAACATTGCAGTAAGACGCAGCTGCAACAAAAAACCAAGGCAGAAAAATAGATGATTCTGTTCTATGTTCATCAGCAAGAGATATTGAATCCAGATGAGACAGAAGACCTTGTTTTACCATTCCAACAAAATGTCGTTTAACAAAAGTCATTTAGAGAACCTTTAGCATCTGGGCAATTACAACAGCTAGAGGTGGCGGCATTTTCAAACATTTTGCAGGAAGTGCATTAGATAACTACTACTCCGTTCGTACGAAGGGACTACTAGTTAATGATTACCTTCTACCTCGCTGGTCAAAGAGGGTGCCTCAAAAAGAGAGCTCCATAACCTCCATATGCATGTTGATCCGCATGTTAGTTTCTCAACACTGAAGCTAGTCCCCCTTGCTTCTATTATTGACAAAAAAGACGGTCTATGTTTTCGTTGTGGTTCAACTGTTCTCTGGGCATAAAACTTGACAAATTTTCTGTGTTTTCAATAAATCTACTTCCAGCATCACATGTAATGTTTGTGACTCAATCAGAACATTTCCAATACCTACACACTTCCAGCATCTCCTTCCTTGACTATTGAAATCTCACAATCAAAGTCAAATCTATGATCTACATGCACCCCTTCTATAAGTCATCAGATCCTAGGTTTGATAGGAAACTTAGCAACAGATCATGTTAAATAACTTTATCAGGATTATTACGGTCGTGGTATTTTTACGGGGTGCCAAGTAGACATAATCTTCGCACAGAACTTCCTGATATATTAGCAATGGAAACCTTGAAATCAAAACAAGCCGAATGACTAACATGAAGCCGGACCACCCAAATTCACAAAATTGTTGACATGACTGACATGAAGTCGGACGAACTTGCACAGCCAAATCAATCCAAAATATTGCAAGCAAAATCAAACAAATGATCAGTTCAACATCTATTACTCATCAGAACCTAATCATATATGACCCAAGAATCTGGTCGAGAAATATAAAAATTGACCAATGAAATCTTTGAAGGTAAGACTCACGATTTGAACATGTGAATGATGTTAAGGACTCACCTTCACCAAAATACGAAGGCAGAAAAATATATCTACCTGATCAATATTCGTCAGCAAGAAATATAAAATCCAGATAGACCTTGTACCTTCAAGTAGAAGCTAACAAAACAAGATTCTTACATAGTTCTTGTCAAATCCATTTCAACTAACAACATAATCACAGAGTAGCACTCAATGAGCAATGGATACCAAACCAAGTCATTCAATCAATCACCCAAATCCACAAATTGTTGACCTGACTGACATCAAGTCCAATAAGGTCCAGCTTGCTCAGCCAGATAAATCCAAAATACTGCAAGCAAAGTCAAACAAATGATCTATTACTCATCAGAACCCTAAACATGAACTAAGAAATCCGGCCAAGATGAAACTAACCATAGATATTCATATATGATATGGTCCTGCTGAAATTCATTATATCATACTCCCTCAGTACTAGAATAAGGTCCGGATGCAGCTGTTTCCTATGTAAAAAATAAAAAATCAGTATGAACTTCAAAAAAATTTATATATTCAAAAATTTGTCAATAGTCTTCTACAAAAGTAAAGAAAAGAGAAAGAAGAGGTGACTAAACTTTATATAATATTTTATGTTATTTTGACACATGGCCAATGAAAACATTTAAGGAAAGAAGATTCGATAAAGACATGTTAATAATGACGTAGAGCACACAAAAAATATATAACGAATAACAAATTTCTTCTTCTTATTTTATCAACAAATTAATTGGTACCAGTTTTCAGAACTGGAAGATTCTCAATAGGATCATAAATCTGTTGAAATAAAAAACCTTGCAGTAAAGACTCAGCTGCAACAAGTACAATAGTTAGAAGTGGTGGGATTTTCAAACATACTGCAGGGAGTGCATTAGATAACTACTAATTCCGTTCGTATGGAGGGACCATTAGTTCATGACTATCTTCTAAATCGCTGCTCAAAGAGGGTGTCTTGGAAAGAGAGCTCCATTACCTCCATAGCATTAGATAATACTCTTTCGGACGTAGGGACACTAGTACATGACTACCTTCTACCTCGCTGGTCAAAGAGGGTGTCTTGGAAAAAGAGCTCCATAACCTCCATATGCATGTTGATCTGCATGTTACTTTCTCAGCACTTAAGCTAGTCCCGCTAGCTTCTATTGTTGACAAAAAGACAGCCTGTGTTTTCGTTGTAGTTTACATGTTCTTTGGGCAAAAACTTGACAAATTTTCTGTGTTGATCTACTTCCAGCATCACATCTAATGTTTGTGACTCAATCAGAGCATTTCCAATACCTACACTTCCGGCATCTCCTTCCTTGACTATTGAAACCTCAAAATCGAAATCAAATCTTCGATCTGCATGCACCGCCTCTATAAGTCATCTGGAATCAAAACAAGCCATCTGATTTGACCATTCGATTCACAAAATTGTCGACATGTCTGATATCAAGTCGGACCAACTTGCACAGCCTGATGAATACAAAATATTGCAAGCAAAATCAAACAAATGATCATTTTCGCATCTATTACTCATCAGAACCTAATCATATATTACCCAAGAATCTGATCGAGAAAACATGTTCTAAACTAATAACATACTCTATAACCTATTTTATCTTGATTTTAAATCGTTATGTTATTTATAGATTATGAGGGTCGGACAAGATGAAATTGTAAAGATGAAACTATCCATTATATCATACTCCCTCCGTACAGAATAAAGTCAAGATTTGGCTGTTGCCGATGATTATGAGGGTCGGACAAGATGAAATTGTAAAGATGAAACTATCCATTATATCATACTCCCTCCGTACAGAATAAAGTCAAGATTTGGCTGTTGCCGATGCACCAATTGGAACTTTAATCTGTTGAAATAAAAAACATTGCAGTAAGACGCAGCTGCAACAAAAAACCAAGGCAGAAAAATAGATGATTCTGTTCTATGTTAATCAGCAAGAGATATTAAATCCAGATGAGACAGAGGACCTTGTTTTACCATTCCAACAAAATGTCGTTTAACAAAAGCCATTTAGAGAACCTTTAGCATCTGGGCAATTACAATAGCTAGAGGTGGCGGCATTTTCAAACATTTTGCAGGAAGTGCATTAGATAACTACTACTCCGTTCGTACGAAGGGACTACTAGTTAATGATTACCAAGAGGGTGTCTCAAAAAGAGAGCTCCATAACCTCCATATGCATGTTGATCCGCATGTTAGTTTCTCAACACTGAAGCTAGTCCCCCTTGCTTCTATTATTGACAAAAAAGACGGTCTATGTTTTCGTTGTGGTTCACCTGTTCTCTGGGCATAAAACTTGACAAATTTTCTGTGTTTTCAATAAATCTACTTCCAGCATCACATGTAATGTTTGTGACTCAATCAGAACATTTCCAATACCTACACACTTCCAGCATCTCCTTCCTTGACTATTGAAATCTCACAATCAAAGTCAAATCTATGATCTGCATGCACCACTTCTATAAGTCATCAGATCCTAGGTTTGATAGGAAACTTAGCAACAGATCATGTTAAATAACTTTATCAGGATTATTACGGTCGTGGTATTTTTACGGGGTGCCAAGTAGACATTATCTCCGCACAGAACTTCCTGATATATTAGCAATGGAAACCTTGAAATCAAAACAACCCGAATGACTGACATGAAGCCGGACCACCCAAATTCACAAAATTGTTGACATGACTGACATGAAGTCGGACGAACTTGCACAGCCAAATCAATCCAAAATATTGCAAGCAAAATCAAACAAATGATCAGTTCAACATCTATTACTCATCAGAACCTAATCATATATGACCCAAGAATCTGGTCGAGAAAACATGTTCTATACTGATTCCATAGATGTTCATATGTGATATGACTGTCTCCGATGTAAAGATGAAACTATCCATTACATGCTTCCTCCGTACAGAATAAGGTCCAGAACTAGCTTTTTCTGACGTAAAAAAATTTAAAAACCGAAATAAAATTTAAAAATAAAAATTTCATATTAGTATTTATAAACTAAATGAATAGTTTTCTACAAAAGGAGAAAAGGAAGGTAACTAGACTATTATTTTATTTTAAAAATTGACCAATGAAATCTTTGAAGGTAAGACTCACGATTTGAACATGTGAATAATGTTAAGGACTCACCTTCACCAATATACGAAGGCAGAAAAATATATCTACCTGATCAATATTCGTCAGCAAGAAATATAAAATCCAGATAGACCTTGTACTTGTCGAGAACCTTGGACTGGACATCGAATCACGTGTGTAAGCCTAAATCTACAAATAGAGAGCTACAAGTTCCCGCAACCAAACAACACATCCACACAATCTTACCAGGGAAAAAATCTTGGTTCCAGTATTTTGTTTAACAAAAGCCATCGAGAGAAGCTTTGGCGTCTAGACAATTACAGTAGCTAGATGTGGTGAGATTTTCAAATGTTTTGAGTGAAGAAAATTAGACTACTATTCTTTTTGTACGGACTACGGAGTGAGAACACTAACTCGATATTACCTTCTACCCTGTGGGTCAGACGGGATATCTTGGAAAGAGAGCTCCATAACCTCCGTATGCATGTTGATATGTGCCACTTCTACAAGTCAATAAGGCGGGGGCTTGATTAGAAAATTAGCATCTGATCAGGACTACAAAATTCTATCACAATTCCAATGGTCATGGTATTTATAGATTATGAGAGGTGGTCAAGAAGAAGCGAACACATCTGGTATTGTGCATAGTTTATGTCGAATCCATTTCTACTATCACCATAATCAGTGCAAAACTTCCTGAATTATTAGCAATGGGCGTCTTGACATCAAACCAAGCCATCTTATATTACCACCCTAATTCACAAAATTCTTTCCATGAATGACATCAAGTCCAATAACAGGATAAAAACACATCAACCTGCTCACCCAGATGAATCCAAAGTATTGCAAGCAAAGCCAAACTGTCAAACCAATGATCTGTCCCACATCTATTACTCATCAGAACCTAGGCATATATGGTCCAAGATAATGATCAAGATAACATAATCTATGACATATTATACTTCCTCCATGCAAGAACAATGTCTAGATTTGGCTATTTCCTGTGTAAAAAACTAAAAAAACTAGAATCTATGTCAATAATGTCCAAAACAAAGAAACTACATCAATAATTCTCTACAGAAGTAAAGAAAAGAATTAGAAGAAAACGCAATTGACACAAGCAACAAATAATGAACAGGGACTGATTTAAACAAGTGAAGAGTGGTGATTTCAACTATTTGGAATGAAAAGCCTAGAGCCAAATCATCCGTCTGGAATCTGAACTGCACCAACAAGTCAAGCCAAAAATACAATTTTAGGAAACAACCATCTTAAATGCCACCTGAGATGGTTGAACACATCTTAACCACTAAAAAACAAAACAATTGCAGTTGCAGCTGGGATTGCGTTGTCCAAACTAGATCAAAACACAAATAATCAATCAATTGATAAGATGAACACGTTTTTTAAAAGAAAAGGGTATTTGTTTAACAACCCAATATCCCTTACACAATTGCAGATATAAATACTAGTTCATAATCAATTTAATATAGATACTGATGTTTACATGGTGAGACTCGTTAAAAATACACATAACTATCCAAAAAGTATAACCATCCAGTAAAAAAATATTAGCAGCACTTACCTTAAAATATCAAATTAAATAGTGCCCTTCAGATTATAAAAAATACTCGGAGTTTGGAAGATCTACATCGTTAGAACGATGAATGTCCATGCTTCACTGTAAATAACTAAGGAACTCATACCTAATTGTTGCAGGTGAGCGTGTATCATTCGACCAACAGCAGGGTAGAGATCTTCAACAGCGGACAAAGATAAATACACAATTTCCAAATGAACAAACCGAGCATAGATGTGATGAACCAGAGAAATAAAAACGAAGGGGGAACTCCAATCCACTATCTGATCATCTAGATAGGATCTGAACACAAATAATTGACGAAAATAGAATCATCGATATGAAATAATAGCGACATCATGGAATCATCGAGTCAAGGCAGGGAAACAATTAACAGTAGGGATCAGATAAAGGCAAGACATCAATCAAATCAATTGCCAGGGAATAGAAACAGAATTCAAACCAGAATATCGTGAAAACAACGAGCGCGTCAAACACTTCCATCTAAGATCTGCCCTACCTAGTCGTATCTTTAGGAGTCTATAATTCTCAATAAAATTAAATTTTCCGAAGCCGATCGATTGCGATAAAGGTCACATCTTCAAGAAAATCAATCGCGGAGAACAGACGCAGTAATCAATATATGATAGCGCCAACGGTTTCCATATATGATCTGAGAAACACCGTCAATCAAAGACAGGAAAACAATCATCGATCGTGATAAACGCAAAAACCCCAATAAAATCCTGCTGGCCAAAGAGGACCGCAGAAGAGAAGAAAGCGTGGTGCCAGGAAAGTTGGGGGAAGAGTTGGTATTTATAAGAGCTGAGAGGCGGTGTGGAATCCACCCGTTTTTGGGAAAGTCGGTTTGGAATGTCCCGTTAAAGTTTGTAAACTTTCAAA